TCATAGTTGCATGTGTCTTGCTCTGCTGTATGGGCAATAAAAGTTTCATTGTTCACGTCCGACTCAATAAGATCATCATAGTTGCGTGTGTCTTGTTCTGCTGTATGGGCAATAACAGGTTTCATTGTTCACGTCCGACTCAATAACATCATCATAGTTGCGTGTGTCTTGCTCTGCTGTATGGGCAATAAAAGGTTTCATTGTTCACGTCCGACTCAATAAGATGGAGTTTTGCTCAAACTAATAGGAATCCGACCAACGTCAAAATTCAAGAAGGTACTGAGATGCATTTGTTACAACCTCACTGTTACATGTCTCTCTAGTCACTCAGTACAGAGAGCGGGGTCCTCTGGTTCGACAGAGTGCTCAATGCTCACAGGAGCAGCAGCGCTATACCAGCACACACGTCATGGAACCCCACATGCCTGGCCAAGTTGCAACTAAGAGTTTCATGCCAGATCATGCCAATCCACGTCTCCTTTGTCAGATGTCGGACGAGGCTTGCCCTGATCTGCAATGGAAATTTTAAATAGATTCTCTTGGTTGGAGGGAATCAAAATAAGACACACAGCACAGAAGCCATTATTATAATTTCGTCTAGGCTTTTCGCACCATCACTTTTCAAGTCGACGACAGTGGTGATTAAAGCCGCAGCAAGCAAGTCGTGGCCAAGGCAGGCCCAGAATGATGGCTTCATAATTTTTTTAATTTTTTTAAATTTCGGCCAGTCGGCTACTATCATTTCGTCTTCGGGGTTAGACAAGGGGAAGTAGCCATGTAGGGGCGTTAGCCCGCTTTTCGGCACTGGGAGTTGCATCTCGCTCGACTTGACTCTACTGAGTGCAGAGGACCCACACCTTGATCTGGTGAGCTGCGTTGTGGGGATTTTGCAGTCAGATGGGCTTCATAATAATTATTATTTCATGGACTGAACTTGACGTGCAGTCCCTGCTCGCTGCTGCACGCGATCGATTTTCATGGCGCTCGCTTGTTCATACTTGCTCTGTGACGCCCCGACGGCCTGAGGGCTATGGGCTTGTGATGTGATGATGAAGCAAGTCCTTATTATATCCGTCAATTTAGCCGTCAGATTATTGACACATTGTTTTGCAGTTACGACGGAAGCAGACACGTGGTCCTCTGTGACTCGTGTAATCGCGCAGTGCTGCACACATGCCGCACACATGCTGCACATGCAGGATTACAAGAGATGACGGTGTACGTAACCTGTTGGCAGGTGCCGTGATAGCACAGATCACCCTAACTCACTTTCACCTGGTACAATGCTCTCGCCTCTCGACTGCAACGTGTGCTGTCTGTTTGCCTTCTATGTGTGGGACCTGTGTTAGACTTGCTTCTATGTGTGGGACCTGTGTTAGACTTGCTTCTATGTGTGGGACCTGTGTTAGACTTGCGTCGGACTTGTGTAGGACTTGTATGTGACATGTTTTGGACTTTGGTTTGACGTGTGCTTGACTTGGTCTTGATTTGTGTGCAGACCTTCCAGCGCATTATTGAGAGCACCAACGTCATTATCGCTACCTACTGTGACGACGAAGGACCGATGGGAAATGTTCAAGTTGACCCCTGCCAAGGAACCGTTGGTTTCGGCTCCAGTCAGCAAGACTGGGCTTTCTCTTTGAAGCAGTTTGCCGAGATCTACGCCGCCAAGTTCAAGATTGAGCCCGTAAAGCTCATGAAGCGTCTCTGGGGAGACCAGTATTACAGCGCCAAAGAAAGGAAGTGGAACAAAACCGGTGGTGATGGATACGTTCGTGGCTTCAATCTCTTTGTACTGGACCCAATTTTCAAGATGGTCGACGCGATTACAAACTCGAAGAAGGACGTGGTCGCCCAGCTCATAGAAAGGCTCAAAATCAAGATCCCCATCGAGGATAAGGACAAGGTGGGAAAGCCCCTGATGAAGTCCGTCATGCGCCACTGGCTGCCAGCTGGTGATGCTCTTCTTCAGATGATAACCATCCACTTGCCATCACCAATCACCTCCCAGAAGTACCGTATGGAGAAGTTGTACGAAGGTCCCCATGACGATGAGGCTGCCATGGCCGTCAAGTCCTGCAACCCTGACGTGAGTGAAAACACTTTTGTACTGGGGCGATGCTACGATTCCGTCCTCGTACAAATTATGCGTGTTTTATCTCCCTTTATGCTTGTGAAGAGTCAGTAGAGAAGGGCTGTGAACATGTACCCTGTCAAAATGGTATTTCACTCTAATAGATTGTAGGGGAAGCTTGTGTAGGACGATAGGAAAGGATTACATCATGGTATCATGTAGATGACCTCATTGAAACAAGGCATGGGCAAATGCTAGTTCAATATTCATTAGTCCGAGGGAAAAGATGCAAACAGGAAGAGTCTGAAGAAACATTGACTGTCTGCCACCAGGACTCGAACCAGGGACCTTTGCTTGAGGCCAGCAATGCTCTAAGCACTGAGCTATCGTGTAGCTGTCATCCCAGCAGAGACCGCTCAACATTTTCTTCTTAGTTCGATATGATCTGATTTGTTCATACCGATAGCTCCCAAAATCAACGACATTGTCCTCGTTGTTGATTCCCTCCCCCCCCCCTCCTCCACCTCCACCACCCCCTCCCCCTACTCTAATCCAATCGCTGCACCGTCTCCCCCCACCGGCCATGCTCTCAACATGGTCTATGACGACGTCACCCAAGCTTGACCTCGGTGTGGACGTTCACCTTCCACCCAAACTACCCCTGTCCTTCCTCATCTCTCCATACACCCTCCCTACCTCATCTCTCCATACACCAGCCCTACCTATGTCCTTCCACCCTTTCTCCTCCCTACTTGCCCCTTGCCTACATACTGGCAGAATACTGCAAACCAGCCAATATTAGCGTCACTAAACGTCACCATCTCTCAGAACCAGCGAATTCATGATAGCAAATGTTTGCGGAACACTATGGCCTGTGACCACACACATACAACCACTGTTGAAGTTTGATTTCACGATGGTTAATTTTCACGTTATGCCCCTCTCGAATACCATTGCGTCGCGAACATTGGGCAGTCTTGTTTGCCCCATGACTCGAAATCTATGTTCTCCGTTGTCTCTCCTTGTCGTTTTCTTCTTCTTCTTCAGGGCCATTTGATGATGTATGTCAGCAGTCTCGTACCGTTGTCTTCTGATAACGGCCGCTCCTACGTGTTTGGCCGGGTATTCTCCGGCAAAGTGTCCCCTGGACAGACTGTCCGCATAATGGGACCTAACTTTGTCCCTGGCAAGAAGGAAGATCCAGTCATCGAGAAGGTTGGCGGGTGAGTAATCTTCACCGAGTGCATTGCTTCCTTCCAGCTAAGCATCGTGAATCGGGGCATTGCTTCCTTCCAGCTAAGCATCGTGAATCGGGGCATTGCTTCCTTCCAGCTAAGCATCGTGAATCGGGGCATTGCTTCCTTCCGGCTAAGCATCGTGAATCGCTGGTGCTTCTGCTCTTGAACTTACTCACTACGCTCGAAGCCACAGTGGGGTTTTCAAATCAGCACGATATTCCAATGATCTCAAACCCTTGTCGTGAGTAGTACATGCATGAGTGGGAACTCCCATTTATTTATTTTATTTATTATGAAATGACCCAAAGGCAATGTGCCTATCGAGGGGTTCATTTGATTGAAAGAACAGTAGATGTAGATGTATGTACAAAGACAAGTAGGGATTGCTGAGGAGAGAAATGGGGGACATTGAGACTATTAAATATAGGCCGCAAGTGCACCCCGCAAGCGCTTGCTTGTCCCCTTGCATGTCGATCATTTGTGTTGGCTAGTGTCTATTGTGGCCAGCACAATGTTTCCTGTTGTGTTTGTTTGTGTGTACGCACGCGCGTGTGTGTGTCTGTGTGTCTGCACCTGAATATGTAGGTTTATACGCGTGTCATTATTCATTTCTGTGTTTGTGTGTTTGTGCATGTGTGTGCGAGTGTGTGTGTGTGTGTGTGTGTGTGTGCGTGTGCGTGCGTGCGTGTGGGTGCGTGTGCATGTATGTGTGTGGTGAGGTGTGTGTGTGTGCCTGGGTGCATGTGTGTGTGTGTGTGTATACACGGGCATGTGTGTGCGTCTGTGTATTTGCATATACATGCATGCATGCTTTGGTATGTGTCTGTGTGTCCCAGTACCATGCTTATGATGGGACGTTGTGTTGAGGCCATCGAGGATGTTCCCTGCGGTAACATGGTCGGTCTCGTCGGTGTCGACCAGTCCTTGGTCAAGACCGGAACCATCACCACTTACGACAAGGCACACAACATGCGCCTACCAGTAGCTTAGGAAGATGTTTTGCTTTGGTGCGGCTGACATTCAGACACTGAATTGCTGGTGAAATCAATGCTGGTGTATGCTATGCAGTCATGCTGTTCATATACCAGTATACTGGTATACCAGTATACTGGTAATACTTCTACAGAGAGCTGTATTTGTTTGTCAAGTATTTTACTCCACTTGTACATCATAATAATAATATACCTGCATATGGTCATGTGCGGAGCGTAAAAACCGAGTACATGTACTAGAGTCTGGACAAGAATTATAGATAGCGGTGTGCACAAGAGAGAGAGAGAGAGAGAGATATAGAGAGAGAGATAGATAGATAGATAGATAGATAGAGAGAGAGAGAGAGAGAGAGGGGAGAGAAAGATAGATAGATAGATAGATAGAGAGAGAGAGAGAGAGAGAGAGAGAGAGAGAGAGAGAGTAAGTTACATTTATAAAGACAGGTAAGTCTAACAAATGAGGACTGAGACCTCTACAACAGGGTTTTTACGCCTGAAAGCAGGTGCATGATTTAACAAGCAGGTTGTCAGTCTAGATTTTATGCGCAGATGGAGAAAAAGCGCAGAATTTTTGTAATGAGATGAAAAGCAGAAATAATAAGAAATAATAAGAAAAGATGAAATGAAAGCCTGCTCACAACCCCGCCCAGCCTTGCGAACTGGGTATGGTGGATTAAGAACCCGGTTCAACGCTCGAGCAAGCGCTCTCCACTCAAGGTGTTCACAGCAACTGATAGGAACTCATATGGGGAAATTATAGAAAAGAAATAATAAGATAAAGAGAATAAATTTCAACGCACCTCAATAAACGGAGCCCCACATACAGTACCTCAGAAAAGTGGATCTTCCGACCAGTGTTTTTGTTGACGCCGCAACCAGATGATGTAGCTGCTTCGCAGAGACGTCTTACTGCACAAATTACAAATAAATTTTATTCTTCGATTAGAAAATCCAAGCGCTTTCAGAGCCCTCCGAAGAGAGTCCGGGATGAAACCACGCACACCTACGTAGCTACCTCAACCGAAAAAGAAACGACCTGCCACCCGTTTGCTCGGCATTGATCGGCCAGATCCGCATACCGCCTGTCCTTCCGCGAGTTACTGACACTGAATCTGTCCTCAGCACAAACTGTCAACTCCATCCAGAATACAATCCTACGACTCGTAGAGTACAGAACTATATCTGGTCTTAGGGTGGTAAGTGCAACACAGCTAGGGAAAGAAATCTTTGCACTAACTGAGTCGACAAGAAGTTTCCAGTCTGAGGCCGCTGACAGGAGATCAGTCGTAACCAACTTTCGTCTGGGCTGAACGCGAACTGGCTTCTCTCCCGCCTTGCAAAACGAGATGAAGTCAAGCTCATTTGAATTTTCGGTTTGTACGGTGTTTGCAGCAGTGCGGATTCGAACCTCCTCACGCATGTTCCTGACGATGACCCCGAGTACGTTGTCGTGCCTCCAGGTGTAACGTCCCTGGTCCAGCGCTACGCGACAAGCGCCAAGCACGTGGCGCGTAGTACAGGCCCAGGTACGGCACAAACTACAGTACGGATCCACTACGGTGTTTCCCCAACGGCGTAGGTTCGTCGGAGAAGGTAGCACGTCGAGGGTTGATGCGAGAAGAAATTTCAAATCCTTACCAGTACCACCGTACAAAAGGGATTTCCACGAGAGGTCCTGCCACATCACCGATGTCCACTCCAACCACTTGCCTTGCACCTGAAGAGTCTTCAGCCTCAAAATCTGCTCCTGCGCGTTGATCTCCTCAAATGTTTGAAGGAGATCCTTCCTCGGGGGTTTGGAATGCTGCTTCGGAGCAGGAGCACCCAACCCTGCACGATGACTTGAAGATGACGGTGGACGGAGAGTCCCTGAACCTACTGATGCCTCTGCACACTCCAGCTCTATTGTCGCCGCATATCGCTTTGTCAGCTTCGCATCCTTACTCCGACGCAGAGTGTACAGCGCCCTCATGGAGAGAGAGAGAGAGAGAGAGAGAGAGAGAGAGAGAGGGAGAGAGAGAGAGAGAGAGAGAGAGATAGAGAGAGAGAGAGAGAGAGAGAGAGAAGGAGAGAGAAAGAGAGAGAAAGAGATATAGAGATAGATAGATAGAGAGATTGAAAGAAAAGGAGAGAGCGAGAGAGGGATAGAGAGCGAGAGAGGAAGGGATTGGGCGAGAGTAAGTGAGAGAGACTAAGAGTGCGGCGAAGAGGGAAATGGTGAGTCCGATTAAGAGATGCATTAAACTTCGAAGTACAAGAGAAAGGCAGACGAAGGAGACCTACATATTGTGGCGTAAGATGATGAGCGTGGGTGTTTGTAGGGAGACATTGATAATATAATTATAGCTATTCGTTGTCGAATTCGGAGCCAGAGAACTATAATATGTTAACGAATTTGTGATTCGTCACACAATCGTGGGTATTGTGAGCAGCAAAACGTTCTCTAACAATATATATATATATATATATATATATATATATATATATATATAGGCCTCATTTTCTCTGTGCTGCGCTGATGAGTTCAAAAAGAACGAAACAGCATGCTGTCCGCAGATTGAGTATTTCGCTCCTGCTCTTGTAGCAGTTGAGCACTCTTGCGTGGGGTAGTGCCTTTGCTGTTTGCGTTATGCAGAGCTCACTGACTTGTCAGTTTGAGCACTCTGGCAAGGTACATTCGGGCCTGATTGGAAATTTTTATTTCCATTGCTATCAGGTTCGGCCTCATTTTCTCTGTGCTGCGCTGATGAGTTCAAAAAGAACGAAACAGCATGCTGTCCGCAGATTGAGTATTTCGCTCCTGCTCTTGTAGCAGTTGAGCACTCTTGCGTGGGGTAGTGCCTTTGCTGTTTGCGTTATGCAGAGCTCACTGACTTGTCAGTTTGAGCACTCTGGCAAGGTACATTCGGGCCTGATTGGAAATTTTTATTTCCATTGCTATCAGGTTCGGCCTCATTTTCTCTGTGCTGCGCTGATGAGTTCAAAAAGAACGAAACAGCATGCTGTCCGCAGATTGAGTATTTCGCTCCTGCTCTTGTAGCAGTTGAGCACTCTTGCGTGGGGTAGTGCCTTTGCTGTTTGCGTTATGCAGAGCTCACTGACTTGTCAGTTTGAGCACTCTGGCAAGGTACATTCGGGCCTGATTGGAAATTTTTATTTCCATTGCTATCAGGTTCGGCCTCATTTTCTCTGTGCTGCGCTGATGAGTTCAAAAAGAACGAAACAGCATGCTGTCCGCAGATTGAGTATTTCGCTCCTGCTCTTGTAGCAGTTGAGCACTCTTGCGTGGGGTAGTGCCTTTGCTGTTTGCGTTATGCAGAGCTCACTGACTTGTCAGTTTGAGCACTCTGGCAAGGTACATTCGGGCCTGATTGGAAATTTTTATTTCCATTGCTATCAGGTTCGGCCTCATTTTCTCTGTGCTGCGCTGATGAGTTCAAAAAGAACGAAACAGCATGCTGTCCGCAGATTGAGTATTTCGCTCCTGCTCTTGTAGCAGTTGAGCACTCTTGCGTGGGGTAGTGCCTTTGCTGTTTGCGTTATGCAGAGCTCACTGACTTGTCAGTTTGAGCACTCTGGCAAGGTACATTCGGGCCTGATTGGAAATTTTTATTTCCATTGCTATCAGGTTCGGCCTCATTTTCTCTGTGCTGCGCTGATGAGTTCAAAAAGAACGAAACAGCATGCTGTCCGCAGATTGAGTATTTCGCTCCTGCTCTTGTAGCAGTTGAGCACTCTTGCGTGGGGTAGTGCCTTTGCTGTTTGCGTTATGCAGAGCTCACTGACTTGTCAGTTTGAGCACTCTGGCAAGGTACATTCGGGCCTGATTGGAAATTTTTATTTCCATTGCTATCAGGTTCGGCCTCATTTTCTCTGTGCTGCGCTGATGAGTTCAAAAAGAACGAAACAGCATGCTGTCCGCAGATTGAGTATTTCGCTCCTGCTCTTGTAGCAGTTGAGCACTCTTGCGTGGGGTAGTGCCTTTGCTGTTTGCGTTATGCAGAGCTCACTGACTTGTCAGTTTGAGCACTCTGGCAAGGTACATTCGGGCCTGATTGGAAATTTTTATTTCCATTGCTATCAGGTTCGGCCTCATTTTCTCTGTGCTGCGCTGATGAGTTCAAAAAGAACGAAACAGCATGCTGTCCGCAGATTGAGTATTTCGCTCCTGCTCTTGTAGCAGTTGAGCACTCTTGCGTGGGGTAGTGCCTTTGCTGTTTGCGTTATGCAGAGCTCACTGACTTGTCAGTTTGAGCACTCTGGCAAGGTACATTCGGGCCTGATTGGAAATTTTTATTTCCATTGCTATCAGGTTCGGCCTCATTTTCTCTGTGCTGCGCTGATGAGTTCAAAAAGAACGAAACAGCATGCTGTCCGCAGATTGAGTATTTCGCTCCTGCTCTTGTAGCAGTTGAGCACTCTTGCGTGGGGTAGTGCCTTTGCTGTTTGCGTTATGCAGAGCTCACTGACTTGTCAGTTTGAGCACTCTGGCAAGGTACATTCGGGCCTGATTGGAAATTTTTATTTCCATTGCTATCAGGTTCGGCCTCATTTTCTCTGTGCTGCGCTGATGAGTTCAAAAAGAACGAAACAGCATGCTGTCCGCAGATTGAGTATTTCGCTCCTGCTCTTGTAGCAGTTGAGCACTCTTGCGTGGGGTAGTGCCTTTGCTGTTTGCGTTATGCAGAGCTCACTGACTTGTCAGTTTGAGCACTCTGGCAAGGTACATTCGGGCCTGATTGGAAATTTTTATTTCCATTGCTATCAGGTTCGGCCTCATTTTCTCTGTGCTGCGCTGATGAGTTCAAAAAGAACGAAACAGCATGCTGTCCGCAGATTGAGTATTTCGCTCCTGCTCTTGTAGCAGTTGAGCACTCTTGCGTGGGGTAGTGCCTTTGCTGTTTGCGTTATGCAGAGCTCACTGACTTGTCAGTTTGAGCACTCTGGCAAGGTACATTCGGGCCTGATTGGAAATTTTTATTTCCATTGCTATCAGGTTCGGCCTCATTTTCTCTGTGCTGCGCTGATGAGTTCAAAAAGAACGAAACAGCATGCTGTCCGCAGATTGAGTATATATATATATATATATTACAGTGAGGGCTGCGTCCCACCCGCCTGTGTGGATTCACAGGAAGTGTGAGTTACGAAGTCTGAAGAAAATGTTGAACGGCCTCTGCTGGGATGACGACTACACCATAGCTCAGTGGTTAGAGCATCGCTGGCTACAA